TTCATGGTCAACTGCTCCGATCACAATCACTCCCGAGTTGTACGCTCCTTACAGTGCCATATTGCTATAGAAAGTAAGCTTTGCAACGCAGGGCATTGCAGTTGTCTTTGCATTCAGATAACAACCCCCAGCCTAAAAAGGTACCCCTCCCCCACCTGTTTTCCCCAAAATGAAGGACAAAAAAGAAGACGAAACTCCCATTATTATTTAAACCCAAAAATGATCAACAGTTGAGTTAAAACAAAAACAAACAAAAACGCCACCCCCTCAAAAAAACAAACAAACAACAAACAAAACAACCCAGCTTGGATTTGTGCAATTTCAAAATCGGGAAGATTTGCAACCCCCGCAAAAACTCCCAAAAGAAAACAAACAAAAAACAATGAACAACAAAAACAACAACTACCCCCCCCCCGAAAAACATAAATAAAACCCCCAAAATCAAAACAAAACTACATGACATGCTCTTAATTAAAAAAAAGTAGCGGGTCTCTGAGGCTACCTCAGCTCGGTGGTGACTGTGTTCGGAGCAGCTGCTGACCAATCAGGCAATCCGCCAGTCCAGCCAGCCAGAGGAACAACGCGCTATAAACCTCTTATACTTACACAAGCACTGTTAGAAATACGGAGAACAACCCAAGAACAGCATTTTTTGGCTTTTTTTTTTCTTCATCATTTTGTTCACAGGGAGTACAGGCAGACACATGACCACCCCCAAAGTTCTCGTGAAGTTAAGGGATCGGTAAAAGTTAGTTTGGACCCCCCATTCTTTGAAGAATCTTTCGAGCATGACGTCACGGTGACCCACATGTGACTCCATGGAGAGTGGAGACCCAAGATGTGCGTACCGGGTCAAGTAAGTTCCGAATTGGGAGTCCAAGTTTATTTTTACGGAGATATTCCTGTCGTCACATCACACACACTACACTACACGACACACACACACACACACTCACATACATACACACACACACACATACACACACACACAAACACACACACTCACACACACACTCACATATACACACACAAACACACAAAAACACACACACACACGCCTAGCACTCTCCCACTGTCCACATTATAAATACATATCGTACTCTCGTACAAGAAACACATGCATTGTTAAATTATCGGCTAAAATGAACGTTTAAAAGTACATTAGTAATAGTAATTGTATAATTTTATATCACTCATCCACGTTTTTTTTTGTCTTCTAAAATCTTTGGTTACAAATTCAGCTGAGGGAAACATTTGAATGCATTATGAAAATTTTCATATATACATATAAAAATATATTTAGCCCATCAAGTAAAGCAAAAGAACGTCGAAATGAACCGCCAGCAATACAACATGGCAAGCGAGCTGGGTTGGGGGCAGGAGGTTGGGGGAGGGGATGGGAGAGGGGATTGGGGGGAAGAAAAGGGTGAGGAGGGCAAGTGGAAAGTAGGGAGTAGTGGGATGGCCCGAGATTTAAGGGGAGATTTATTTTGGAGGATGGATTCTGGGTGCAGAAATCACGAAGTATAAAACGAAAGCAAAAATACACGGGGTGGGTGTGCAATGTAATGATTATCAGTGTGTGTGTGTGTGTGTGTGTGTGTAT